TTTAGTTGATGATTTGTACCTTTTCTTCTGATGGAGAGCTTATGACGTTTGAGAAGAAGGGTTCCCTTTCCATCGGGTACTTGAGCCTTTAGAATCCTGAGAACTTATTTCAGAGATTCTGTCTTCATATTTCTTATTCTTGCCCAGATTTTGATTTCTCTACAGAACGAGCTTTGAATTAGAAAGTCTTTTTATCATTTGAGTAGCAGGAAGCTATATAATTTTCTCTTACTGGATCTCTTTACACGGTTAAGAGTTTGATTCTTAAATTAATAATTGATTCGGGCTCTGATACCAATTGAAGGTAGAGAAAACACAATAAATAGGGGTTTGAATTGGGTTTATAGAAAACATTCCCCTTTAGAAATTCAGAGCACTCAAATGATAATAATGATAAAGGCAATGAAGAATAAAGGATACAAGGATTTATCTAGGTTCACCTTAAACAAGGTTAATCCTGTCCACCCCCTCAAGGATGACTTTGCCTTCACCAAGGACTTAATCCATTATAACCTAATTGATTACAAATGCACGGGAAACAACCAATGACTAACACACAATGACACGTTCAGGGATCCCGCACGATATAAAGTTCATTGACCCAATAGAATCAGATCTCTCAAGATCATTTATTCGGATTTCCTACAACGACCAGCAACCATTGTCTTCTTGAGATCAGACCTTCACTCAGTCTCTCAAGGAACTTTCCAATGATATGTTCAGTGGTCCAATTTAATGAATATAACAATCATTGACCCAATAGAATCAGATCCCTCAAGATCATCTATTCAGATTTCCTACAACGAACAACAACCATTGTCTTCTTGAGATTAGATCTTAACTCAGTCTCTCAAGGAACTAATCAACAACAGTTTATGAGGTTCTTGTGTTTACATTATTGCTTCTTCTAAGGAGATTATACAAGTGTTTTAAGCACATATTGTTTAACACATCTTTGAGAAACAACTCTAGTGTTAAAACAATTTACATGAAGAGATTCAAACTGAAACACAATACGAGTAAAAAATCTTGTGTTAATTACAATGTTCTATCAAGATGTATATGATCAAAAGTTGAGTAGCATCTTGTAGTGTTCTTCTTCTTCATCTTCTTGTTGAGCAAGTTATGAGCAATAACTCCTTGCTTCTTCTGAAATCTACCAAGATGTATTTAATTAGAAGTTTAATAAAATCTTGTAGTCTTCTTCTTTATCTTTCTTTATTTTCTCTCATTTCTCTATAGTGGTATTCAAAATGTTTAACATTGCAACTTTTAAATCTTTAGCATCCACGATGTTTAAGCTTGATGACCAACATCTATTAGAATTTCAGCTTCGGCTTCAGCGTAGGCATCGACATGGTTTCTTTAAATCTTTTATCTTCTTTTATAGCCTTCAGAGAGAGACGTTGTGAGGATAGAAAAGTCCTTTCCTGCACTAGCGGTTAGTTACAACTGATATAATAAGGTGTAAGAGTTAGACAGTATAAACTAATAGTTTATGTATCTTGTCACTATTTAATGATAGCTTTCCATCTTTTACCTCTGAATAATATTTTTCTAATAAGCTTGTAAACAGAGATTTATTGAGTAAAGAAAGATAGCTGGAAATCCAGCTATTTGTTCCCAACAGTCATAATGAGAGTGGTTGACAATACAGTACGAAAGGATTGTCCTTACGCCACTCTATAGGGTAGAGGTCGTATACACTTTATATATCTTTTGTACACCATCACATGTTAACCATTTTGAAATTATTTTTATCTTAAGAGGCTTCAGATAATTCAAATGTTGAAGCTTGTTGTAGAAGAATCACTCTTAAATATTATAACCTAAGTCTTGGAGTCTTCAAAACTTGTCCTATCAGAACCTTGTCTTCAGAGTCTTCAACACTTGGTTGTAAGAACTTGCTTGTCTTCAGATCATCAGAACTTGTTAAACAGAACCTCGTCTTCATAATCTTCAGAACTTGTAACACACGAAGTAAAGCTTTAGAAGGCCTCCAAAGCTTAACCACAAAGTTACGATCAGAACCTCTTGTACTAATGTTCCTAAGACACATTGTAGAAGACGTATTTAAAATCTTGACTTCAACTGTAACACGCAACCACATGTTTTCTTCTAGTAGTGTATGTTCAGAACCTGACGATGTCACACACCTTGATACCCGAGTCAGAACATTATAGAAGTAGCTACACACTAGAACAAACCATTAGCGTATACAATTGTTCATAAAGATAACATGTAATGTTATAATCAAAATCTTAAGGCTAGATGTAGAAACACTTCTTGTTCTTACATTTCTTACATAATCAAATAAACAATCCTTATTTTTATGGTCACTTTGGAATCTTTACTCGACATAGGGAAATCAACGGTGATAGAAGGGATGTACAAAAGTCTTCCCTTTCAGTCATTCTATTCTTCACTATTACTATCCTCTTTCCCCTTGGCTCTGGCTACCAACTCGATAGCCTTCTTGGAGGATGACTTACAAGGATACCCGTTTTTCCTGGAAACTCTTATTGGCCTATAGAATCATTGTTCTTTCTCGGGTGTCCTCGGTGAGTCACTCCTTTTTATCAACTCCTCGATGCGACTTTCAGATGAAAATACTCGTTAGTATTATGGTCATGAATCTTATGAAAATGACGATACTTGGACTTATCTATCCTGGAGAATTCCTTAAATGGGTAGGAACTCTTTATCCAAACATTTTTGAACTACGTATTGGCTCATTCTCTCCATATATTTTCCTTTGAAGTTTTCAAAGGACTGAAGGAGAAGAATCTAGCTCGGGTGCCTCGCTCCCTGACGTTTATTTGATGATTGTTGTCTTTTTCTGAGGTCCAATAGTATCCAGAGTTTCCAGTACCACACATATTTCCCCTTTCTTTTACCAGGAGTTCCTCATCCTAGTTCATATATGATTATTCCCTACTCAGCAAGTCGCTCAAACTACAAGTTCCCTTGAGACCTAGTTTCTCTTAGAACATGTAGCTCGACCTTAAACCTTTCTTAATTATGTAACACTTTAACCTGTTGTGTGTACCTCCCACCGCCACAACCATTATACTGATATTGTCAATGTTCTTATGTAGGGTGTCTTTCTTCCCTTGCATGATCCCACTAAGGACAACCATAGTTGTAGGTTGTCATTTCTGAGCGATAAACTAGGAGGTGAAGGAGTCACATAGATCTTTCCATGAGTCAATGCTTCCATCTGGAAGAGTTTTATACCACGTCATGGAAACTCCAATAAAAGTTAAGATAAAAATCTTACACTCTACGACTCTATAAACATGATAATAATCTAGTTTTTTATATATGTTCTCTACGTGTTCCTCAAGGTCCCCAGTCCTGTCGTAGTCAACCAATTTCAAGTATTTCTTCAATTATCTAAGGATTCTACTATCTTAGGCACATGGTGACAATAGGATGCTCTTTTGTTTTGAGTTGGAGCATATACATCGTACCTTTCTCTCCTTCGGAAGTGGTGTGTTGGTGACCTATAACAACTGTGATTTTTAGGTGGAGCGTGGTTCCTTCCCTTTTATCCTCAAAGTCGGGAGGAGGATTTTAGTGTCCCCTACTTCGGTGGTATCGTTGAGGTCATGGAGTAACTTCACATGGCATGGACGCTCTAGTGGTAGTTGACTCTAGTATCCCGACATGATTACCGTGCAAAGTCATTCCTCGTATGTTGCTATCTCTTGGAGGGACATGTTATAAGTTTGCTTAAATTCTCAAGATCATATTTGATAAGAATTGGTAGTTATTTTGGTGCACCAAAATGTACACGTTGTTCAGCAGGTCGTTGGCTCCCTACATGCCTAGATTGACTTACAATACTTAGAGGCTAGGGAACATCTCTTGTACATGCACAAGAGGTGGTAAAGGAGGTTGGTTTGAAGGTTCACCTTGATAAGGCAAAAGCAAATACTGAAAAGTTGGAAAAATCATGAAATCCTCCCAAGTTGATTCTTGGAGGAGCCAGATCTTGAGATGTTGGATTAAAATGAGAAGTAATTAAACTGGATCATGCATCTCCGATGGAGGAGGATAAGCCTTACTAGCTTCAGCATCTGCAATGTTGAATTTGGCAGATCAAATTACTTTCAAATTCATCACAAATTTGGAAGTTTGGTATCAGATTGTTCAGCAAGAGATCGATGTTTGCGAGGAAAGAATCGATGATATGGATTTGCGAGGGAGAAACAATTACTCTTTGTGAAATTCATAGGAATCATATGTCAATTTCCATAGACAATGCCAATGTTTCGCTTGGAAATCATATTTAATTGACGAAGGAGTGAGATGAGGGCATAAATCGGTGGAGCAAGTTTTCGGTATGACGAAAAGAGGGATGACCTGCAAGGTTATCACTCCAATGTCCAAGTCTATGAGAGAGTAAGAAATAATGTGAGAATGAGAATAAATTTGAATACCAGAAATAACATGTTTTCTCTTTATATAGTGATATGGGTTAAAATCGTCGAATTGAGGGGAGACTCATTGTGCAAATAGTCGTTGGATCTAATCAGATAGTGACCGATGCGTCTAGAGAATATTATCACCTTCTCTTAAGGAAAAAGGATTACCTACTCCACACATTTTACTACTTGATGACGGTCATGAATGTTTCGCTTTGGATCTTGCGAACGGTCCAAAATATTAGTAATATATAAATTGAATCTTCAAAATAACTATTATACCATTATAAATATAACATGTTTAACAACAAAACTTTTACGTGAAAATGAAAAACCTACCACTCAAAGTAAAGGTAGAAATTATTTCAATAATTGTTAATGACAATATTTAACAAAAAGAAAAAGTTATTTTTAATTAAGATTTCAGTTCACACACACTTCATAGTAAAAAAACAACAACATTGAGAGTAAAGAGGGACAAAAGGATAGATAGTAGAGATTTAAACGGAAAAACTGAAGCGACAGTAGTTCTAGTTCATTCGGTAATTGTTTGCTCCCTTGAATCTCAATATGTTGAGAGCTGTTTCATCTTCAACACCACTATGTTTTTCACCTTCAACCAGATTCAATCTTGACAAAGGAATCTCAAATTCAACTCATACATTAACCTATGTTCACTCTTTCTCATTATTCACACCTCCCTCTCTCTCTAAAAAACAATCCCATTTCTTTCCACAACTTGCTTCATCTTCATCTCCACTTTCTGGTGAGATTATGCACTCATCGTTATCTTTTTCGCTTTCTCATAAACTTTAATTGCAATGATGCATTTGTAAAGATTATTAATTATATTTATATGCCACTGCATGTTAGTAGTAGATTGATGATACTGCTTCTTTTACTAGTTTTATAGAGAATAAACTTTTTTAGATTGAGATTTATTTTTGAGGGTTCTCTTTTTACTTTCATCTTTGAACTATCCCAGAAAAACCATATAGCAAATCTGGAAGCTTTTGTAGATTCATTGATCATCTTATACTCCATGTCTGTGTTTGTAGATCAAAACAGTTAAAAAAAAAAAACAATATTAGGTTCATTATCAAGGTATTGCAAAATGTTTAGATTTTCATCATACACAAATGTTGGACACGGCACCGATCTGACACGTAGACACTATTGATAATTTTTGGAAATAGAAGTAATAGTATGTAAATTCAAGTGTCAATGACATATCAGACACCCAAACATGCTTCAATCTAAAGTGTCAGTTCTAGATTGCATGCAGTGTACATAGGTCTTGATTGAACTACCAAGGTCAAGAGCAATTAACCAAAATGTTACCTGTAACCAAAATGCTTGTATTGTATGCTAAGCTGTAGATAGGATTCTGATTTCTGCCCAATGTGACTGATCATATATAACAAAATTAGTTTTCTTTCATTGTCTTTTTGTTCGTTGATGATAAAAATTGACATCTATTTGCTTATATGATTCTGCAGCTGTAAATGCTGAATACATTGAGGAACCAGCAACAAATGTGAAGTTTCAGACATCTTCGAGTTTCCCGGGTTGCACAGACTCGTTAACGTTATTCGGAACAGGTTAGTTCTTTTAGTCTCACATAATGCTCATGACATGTGAAAAAAACACTACCTTGACAACATTAAACTTGGTCTGTTACAAAGATTTTTGTGTTTTAGTAGTAGAATGTAGTTGGTTCTGATATCAACACTTATTTCAGGATTCAGAGAAAAAGTTTTTGCGATTATTGGTGTCAAGGTTTATGCAGCAGGACTGTATCTAAACCAGTCTATTGTAACTGATTTGAACGGATGGAAAGGGAAATCGAAAGATGTGATTCAAGGGAGTTCTTCCTTGTTCAACACCATTTTCCAATGTAACAATTTAGTATTCATTTTCTGTATAATTGCGAATTCGATTTCTAATTTATAGAATAGTCGATAAGCGAATTCTATTTTCTAATTGCAGCTCCCCTTGAGAAATCATTGCAAATCATTCTTGTCAGAGATGTTGATGGTAAAACTTTTTGGGATGCATTAATTGACGCCATATCACCGAGAATTGTAAAACCAACTACTGCAGATGAAACTGCATTGACCACTTTCCGTAGCGTCTTTCAAGATCGATCCCTTAAGAAAGGAACTTTCATTTTCTTGACTTGGTTGAACCCCTCCAAATTGCTTGTAAGATATTACGAACTGCAGAATTTGTCATCGAGATTTTCTATTCAGACAACTAAGGTCGTTGATTTTGTTTTGCGGTTTCAGGTTTCTGTCTCGTCGGAGGGAGTTCCATCTTCCGTTGACGCTACAATTGAATCTGCGAATGTGACTCATGCTCTTTTTGATGTATTCCTGGGAGACAAACCTGTTTCTCCCTCCTTGAAATCTTCTGTGGCTGAAAGGTTGTCCAAAGTACTTGAGTAAACAAATTTAGTGTCTCAAGAAAATTTCACGCGTCGATGTTTTCTTTAAATGGTTCGATCTTTGAATGTATTACTGCAGTCAGTTTTCTATGTTATCAAGTTCTAATATAATAGTATCATCGATTATAGATAATTACAATTCATAATGACAAATACTATATCGTCTAGTTTATCTATGCTATTCTAAGAAAGTAAACTATTTACATGTCATTGTAACGGAGAGAAAATAAAATGTTCGCTAACAATCCATTTCAGGAAATAATGAAAATAACTCTTTTGACATTTTCATTATTGCTTGAAATGCAAGTCGATTATAAAACCAACACGAAATGTTTTTAAATGTCCTCTTAGTTTTTGTTCTAGCTCTGCTGCCGCTGGTTTTCTTGAAACTTTAGATGAGGGATTTTGAGTGAACATCAGGAACCTGTTTCGGTTTTCTCGAGCAAGTTGACGATTTCAGCCATAGTTGGCCTGTCCAGAGGATCTGGTTCAAGACACATCATTGCAATGTTGAACACCTTGTTGACCTCATGCATTGGACAACATGAACCTAAGCTACTATCAAGAACTAATTCCTCTTTCTTCTCTTGAACAACAGCTTTCACCTGATACATTATTAACAGAATGATTTTCAAGAAAGTAAGTTCTCAAAATCTTGTTTGCGTAAGACATTTCTTGCGTTACAATTTAGTTTTGTAGGATTGATTTAGAGCAGACAAATCATATCTTACCCATGTCACGAGTTTTGTTCCCTCTTCCATAAATGCTTCATCACTAGGTTTCTTTCCGGTTAAAAGCTCCAACAACACAACTCCGAAACTGTAAACATCCCCTTTGACTGTTGCTCTTCCTGTATCAAAATATTCTGCATACAAACAATCATCATTTCGAAACACAGCATGCGAAAGTGAGAACCATGTTAATCTTAGATGTATTTATTATACCTGGAGCCAAGTATCCGAAAGTTCCAGCAACAATTGTTGAAACATGAGTTTTGTTTGGTTCCATTAGCGTGGCTAACCCGAAATCCGAAACTCGAGCTTCCATATTTTGATCCAGCAATATATTACTTGACTTGATATCTCTGTGGATAATGTGAGGGATACAATCATGGTGAAGATATGATATTCCTCTAGCTGCACCTAAAGCTATTCCGTGTCTTGTTTTCCAATCCAAAACCTTCTTGTTCGCCGATCTCCCTACATCATTTTCAACTTATCTGTGTTCAAAACAACTTATGAAAATGGCTTATGACATGTTTGGATAGAAGAAATCATTGAAAAATACATACCATGCAAAAAGGAATCCAAACTTCCATTAGGCATTAACTCATATATGAGAAGATTGTAATGTGGCGCAGTATAATATCCATGAAGAGTCACAACATTGCGGTGTTTTATGTCTGCCATTGCTTGTAACTCTCTTTCAAAACCTTTATCTCTCTCTGCAGTTCCGCGGTTCATTCTTTTCACAGCAAAGGCCGCAGAATCGTTCAGTTTTAGTTCGTAAACTACACCATAACCACCAGAACCAATAATGTCCTTGTTGTTCAGTTTCTGTGTCTTCTTTAACACCATCTCAGTTGTTAAAGATTTAAGAATTGAAGACCTAAATATCACCATCTTACCTCCTATATCATCCAATCAATATACGTCAGGATTAACTTATCTGAACTTATATATTCTATTGACATAAGTATTAGTAATAATGTTTAAAATAGTTTATAGAAACAATTTATACGTAAGTATTTTTATATATAAAGCACGAACTCTGACAGAGACATCTCTGATACAAAAACATAGGAGAATTCGTTTTAGTGTATATACCTGTATAGCCTTCATAAATGACATGTTTCCTTTTCCATCTTTTATAGAGGAGGATTGAGATAACAATCTTGGATATGACAAAAGCAATGAAGCATATGGTTACGAAAAAGGCTATAACCAAAGATTTCCTCATTTTCTACTATAATCTGATGCTGAAAATTCAAGAACCTGAAAAAACACAGTTCATTAAAACAACAAATGAAAACCAACGATTAGTTAAAAGAATTCTGATTATCTTATCATGCATAACACAAAGAAAGGAAAGGGAAACCTCACAGTGATTCTGAGTAGTATTGTGATCTCTGAGGATGAACATAGACGCAAATTTGTTCATTTCAACTGTTCAAAATTTCATTTTCAACAGTACTTGATGAACCTAAAGTCTCAAATCATTCAGATGAATGATCTAGTCCAAGAAGAAAGGAAAATGATTATCAAGAGAATAATAGAAAGTGTAGAGAGCATCTTTTTGAAAATTAGGCACTTGTAAGATGTAATCATAGAAAGTTTGACATTAGGAAGGTGTACCTTTAATTTTGTCTCTCCATTTAAACGTGTTTTTAATAGAAAGCATATAATGTTAGTTTTTTTTTTCTTGAATAGAAAAGTATTTATAATTTCGTGGATGGATAAAACCTGCCAAAAAAGTATATCTTTAACTGTTTACTGTGTGAATAGAGTTGGACTTTTGTGACATGATTAAATTCATTCATACATTTGGTTACTTATAAAGCTGGCAATGAAGTTTTCTTTTTCTTCAAGTGTGAATGAACTTTATCACCATTCCTTATCATATTATTAATTATTATTATTTGGATTATAACATGGGAATGTTCCCTAGCTGTCAAAGAGAAAATTTTGAAACCGACATAAAAAAAGTAGCATGGTTGGGTGTGTTCCAAAGAAGGTAAAAGTTTTGTGATAGTTAATAATCATGTGAATGACTATGCTGTCGCCGTATTTCTTCACCACTTGTCTTCGTTTAATTGATAATGGAGGTTGTGAATTCATTAATTAATGGAAATGGAAAAGAAGCAAATGAACATCTTCGAAAAGATAATACGAAATCGGTTGCGATAGGTTAAAAGTAACTGAAAATCTAAAGGTTTAAGATTTGCTATAGTATAGATACCGTACTGTATATTTGTAAAAGTTCTAAGCTCAAGTGGAAATTGAATCCTCTACTGTCAAGGAGTTGCATTCAGTGTATTTTGGAGGCATTTTGAAGGTTATTCCGGTCGTTTTACCACTCAATTTTATATCTTTTCACATTTTCTATAGCAAATTTTGCCTAAATATATGGTTCTGCAGTCATATGTGATTGCAGAAGATTCAGGTCGAACTAGAGTGTCTTTATTTAGGAATAGTGTCGAATGAGTAATGATTCAGAGATCCGTTTAGGAATATTTCTAACGCGTGAGTTAAGAAAGAAGAAATTTTCATTAACTTTAGAAATATAAGTGGTCAATAACTTCTCCTGATAGGAAGAAAACGGTTGACGCCATTAAAAGTGACTTAAACTCTAGATCTTGAAGATCTCTATAAATATATCTACCCTCAAGAGATGAAAAGACATACCCTAACCGATACACATTCTCTACACTCTAAAGAGCATAACGCTTACTACAGTTTTAACACACGACTGCATGTAACTATACGCTTGGCACGAGTATTGTACATGTGGATCAGCTTGTCTTTTTCGAAGACGAAAGAAAATGAATGAGAATATGAAAAACTTGCAGAAAGCAAGACCAATGATACATGAAATGCATGATCAAAAGATTGTTTAATTATTTTTTTTAAAGTTTTCCAGGAACTAAGGAATCATAAACATATTGCAAACATCATAAGTAATAAAACATCAAAAAGAAAATTTGAACTTTTATTTTATTGAAAAATCTGGAAGGATTACAACTTCAGTTCATAATTTCAAAGCAATCATAAACAAAAGACATAAACTAAGCCCTAAGATCCGAGGAAACCACAACTAAAGCATATTCATCTTCATGCTGCAACTTCTCCTTGAGATTCCTTATCTGAGCTTCAAAGACAGTCTTCATTTCACCTTTTTCTTTCAAGATCTTGTCAATAACACATTTCCAAGCGCTAGACCTAGCTTGAGTATCATAAAGCTCTTTGTTACATTGAGACAATATGTTATTGGAGGAAAATAAATCCTCTTGAACCCTCTTCCTTTTCTTTCATGTTGTTCAAACAAATCATCCTTCTGGCGAAGCATATCATCTTTCTCCTTCAATTACCTTTGTAGCTCTAATTTCTCTGCATTTGAAACATGAAACCTTTTCTCCCAAGCAATTCTTTCTTGCTTCATCCGAGTCAAAGCAACTTGGATTCCTTCCATATCTTCAACTGGAACAAGAGTAGGTCCTATGTTTTTAGGGAACATAAGTTCTTCAGGACGATAAGGCATCTTGATATGAATAGCTCTTTCTTGCATCCACTGCATGTAAGTCTCCAAGGAAACACAATCATTTTTTCCTAATTCATCTTTTCCTTTTCTATGAATCTTATGTTAGGCGCAAACTATCTTCTCCTTCAACCCCTTACTATCAACACCTTCTTGAATGAATAACCCTTCCACAAGAATGTTGCTTGGTTTATCCTTCATAGCATACCTAAGCCGACGTTGAGCCAAAATTGGATTGTAATTGATACCTCCTTTTGTACCAAGAAGAGGTACATTAGGGAATTCACCACAGTTGTCAATAATCTTCACGCCGTCGTAGAATCTAGAATACTAAGTCAAATCTGCGATGAATCCCAATGCATATTTAACTTGGTAATCTTCTTTTCCCTTTGGATTAAGCCATAAGATAAGCAAATCACATAAGTCAATGAATCATCAGGAGCAAGCAATGGAAGCAGATGAACAGCAAAAGATTCAGATGAAAGATGTAACACCCCAATTCTACCTCGACAATTATATAAATAAATCAGAGTTATAAAATTCATATCATCCAAACGAATCGGGACATCACAAGTTCTTCTATCAAAATTCATTGCATTCATCGTGGATATATAACACTTTTAAAACATCAGATGAACCATCATCATAACATCTATAATTAAATAATTCAACATCTACGCAGCGAAATTCTTAATAACACCTCTAACAACAAAACAGTAACTTCGAAACATCACATAATTAATAATAATCAATTTAAAGTTCAACGACTGAAAATCAACAATCAAAACAGCAAGCGTTCATCTCCCCCGAGTGTTACATATCAGAGCAATGACACCGACTCAAACTATTGAAAGAATACAACCTTCACTCTCGATTACCTGCACGTTACCAACATAAGGGCAACATTCAAACAGAACGGGTGAGATATCTAACAATATAATAAAGCGCATGATAATTAATATATTAAATTAGATCAATAACATCACCACTTCTCATCTCATGATCAACAATAATTACAACGCATATACATATTTATCAACATCAAAATACACGTCTCTATGCATTCATATAATGCGACTCAATACTATGCAAATGCATGTGGTACCATTGGAGCAGAACACCCATCTCAAAAATTTGCCAATTAATAAAGGCATCAACAAGGCATAGCTTTCATCTCAAAATTCGCCAATACAGGCCATCTCAACGAGCATAAGCTCCATCTCAAAAATGCAATATATGCGACACAACCATGAATGTAATAAAAACACCCAAGTTAACAACATTTCAAATCATCTCAAAAACATCTTAATTAACATCTCAAAAGCATCTCAAAATAACAACATCTCAAATGCATCTCAACGTCTCGTCATCAACATCTCATATCATCAAAATAATTTATTAAACATCATTTATTTATTATAAACTATCAAACATCATTTATTTATTATAAATCATCAACAAAACATCATGAATAACTTCTCACTAACAACTCAGCTGTACATTAATTCCACAGTAAATCAATACTGCTATTCTGTAACTCAAACGTCATCACCGCCACTATTCCTATTGTTATAGTTCAAACAACAACTTCTAAGCATCTAACTTTCATATTCTGTACGAAAACAACGTAAAGGCCAGCACAACTTCTGATCAGAACAACTTCTGACCAACTCAACTTCTAACCAACACAACATCTAATAACAACTTCTAATAACACAACTTCTGACAACACAACTTCTGACAGCACAACTTCTAACCAACACAACTTCTGACCAACACAACTTCTGACAGCACAACTTCTGACATCACAACTTCTGTCAACACAACTTCTAACAGCATAACTTCTGACAACACAACTTCTGACAACACAACTTCTGACAACACAACTTCTGACAGCACAACTTCTGACCAATCATAACTTCTACTCTCTAACAATTCAATGCAACTTTTAACCACCATAGCTTCTACCATCAGAACTGCTACTTTTTACCAATCCTACTATTTTAATTCTTAGCCTGATATCAACCTAACTAAGAACAATATGAAAAATTCTATCTCCAATTTAATTCATTATTCTAATACAACAACTTCTGATATCCTTCTGGCCTAATTCTACGTTTTTCATCACTGCAATATTCTACGTTTTTCATCACTGCAACTCACTACGGAATTCATACCTAAAGCCCCAAAATTTAATATAATCATGATAATTCATCACCCACAATTACCTTATAATTCTACATCAATCGAACAACATCATGACATCAATATTCATCTAAAATTCATCAATTCTCATCATACAACAATCATATATTTTCAATTCAAGAACAAGACAACAAACATCTCTAACCCCACATACCAATCATCATAAACCCAATTATAGAGTTAGAACCACACCCTTACCTTGGATTGAAGGTCGCTCTACAATTTCCGGCTGGATTCACGTTCTTGCCGTTTTCCACTTTCTCTAGCAGCTTGCACGTTCTCTTCCAAATCCTTATTCTTTCTACTGCTTCTTTCTTTCTATTCCTTCTAACAAATATAAAATAACCCTATTATTCTATTATTCCTTATTGGGCTTAAAACCAACACCCTCCCTTATTACTTCTATTCCTTAAAAACAAGCTCACACCAAATAATATTATACTTCTAATATTATTTCACCACTTAATAATATTATACCTCTAGTATTATTTCTCCACTTAATAAAATAATTAAATCCAATTAATTAATTATCACACAACTTCTCAAATATTCCAAAAATAATTTAATTAAATAATTAATTAAATTACGGGCATTACAACTCTCCCCCACTTAGAATATTTTCGTCCTCGAAAATTTACCTCAATCAAACAATTCAGGATAAGAGTCTCGCATCTTGCTCTCTAACTCCCAAGTCATGCTTTCACTAGCAGCTCCTAGCCAAACCACTTTAACCAAGGAAATCTATTTTCCCCTCAGAGTCTTTATTTCACGATCCGCGATCCGTACAGGCATCGTCTCCACCGTAAGATTATCCCGCACTTGCACGTCGTCCATATGAATCACATGAGATGGATCTG